GTATTATGGCATCCTTAGCAACTACTGTTACTGTTACTGCTACTGTTACAGAGATCTATGTCAGTTCCTATCTTGGAACTTTTGTTTACTGTTATGATGGCCATCATTGACTGTTCGGTCTTTCAAGACCTACTGTTTACTATACTGTTCTGCTATTGGATGTACCACATATGACTGTTATGACTGAATGACTGATATACCGAATCAATTGACTGTTTTCAATACTGAAAGGACATTCATTCTTAACCTCTTTACGCATTACGTTATTCATTGGGCTTTAGCTCACTGCTCATATATATATGTAGGTGTACAGGCACCGGACCATTGCTAGAAGCGTTAGGGTAAACTCCAGTTTTGTCAAGCCAACCTTTGTGCCTCACTTCGAGGTTCCTGATCTGTTCGAGCTGAGGCTGCTTGAGGAGTTTTAGATTTCCCCTTTTTGTTTATGATCTGTATAGACTAAATGTACTATACTGTCTTAATAGGGATTAAGTCCCTGATGTGGATGATTGTATATATTGTACATACTATTTTGTTACGAATGTGCATATAAATGAGAAGTCTTTTTGCATACAGACTGTCACAGCTCATTGGACATTGTCTATTTACTGTTTTGGCTTCCGCCAGCCCCTGTACTTTGTATTACTATATTACTGTTAAGCAGGCCTTCGGTAATCTCGGATTACTGGCCGGTTACGGTACTAAACCCATAGGGGCGGGTTTGGGTTGTGACAGGCCACCACGGTCTCTTGTGGTTGGCTTGCTAGTGGTACCTCGGCTTGGTTTGTTTTGGTTAGAAGGGCCCTCACTGCTCTTTTCTTGGCCATTTCTTGTTCGGCAGTTAGTGGGATGAGATTGATTTGAAGCAAGGACGGATCTGGCTCTAGTGAAGGTTCAAGGAGGAAATCGGTCACTCTGGTCTTCCTGCGACCGCTATATCGGTAGGTCGGCTCAAAATTCAGTAGCTCGGTCCAACTTCGGTTTGGATATCGCAGCGCGACGCGAAGAACATTCAAGTTAGGGTAGCTGTATTGGGACTTGAGAAAGTTCAAATCTGCATGAAAGAAGACAACAGTTAGTTTGGCTCAGGGAGAGAAAACCGAAGTAAAGAAAAGCATACAATGAAGCCGAGGTAACCCTACCTGCTACACCCTTGTTCCAATTTATTCTGTGGCCAGGAATCTGGGCTTGTTGGTCCTCAAAATTCCCAGATACCTAGAAGAAATCATCATCATTCACGTCTTTATCTGGGGTATTCTTTATTATTTTTTCACACTGGCACCTTATTCTTAAATAGTAAACCCAACCATCTTCGGCTAATCCTATGGAGTATTGATGAAACAGCTCTGCTAAACTGAGATTAAGGCCAGCCCGGCAGTTTAGCTCGGCAATGCCGTTTATTATGCGATAAGAATTGGTGGAAAGTTGGGTAGGGCAGAGCTTGGTTTGTCTAAGAAATTCACAAAGAAGGGGTTGTACAGGGAATCGCAGACCGCACTCTACGATGGAAATAACGTTAAAAGGGACAAAGCCTTGTTTTTCCTAGGGGACGGTGTCTAGTTCGGCTAGTGAAAGGTGGACATCATCCGGAATTTGGTAGTCCTTACGGAATTCGGCTATGGCCCCTGGTGAGTTTACTAAAAACTTATATTTACCCATTGATTGTTAAATTATCAATAAATTAGCTGAAGAGTTAGCTCGGTCAAGAAAAAGCGCCTAGTAGCTCGGTTGAGCAATCGAATGAGTGTCTGGCCAACCTAAGTCTGCAAAGTTAAAAAGAAAGGTGTTAAGTACTGATCATTGGACCGTGCTACAAGAAACAAGAGCAATATAAATGAAGTCCTAGCTTGGCTACGCAAGATGCTATCAGTTTTTAGCTCGGTTTGATCAAAGGGCTTTTTTAGCCTGGTTGAGCCCTTGGGGCAGCATTCTTAGTTCGGTTTGAACTATGGGAGCTGGTTTAGCCCCAAGTTTTAGCTCGGTCGGTGGTTAAGGCTATTGGGGGAGCAATTTTAGCTCATTTTTTACTAAAGAAACTGGTTTAAGCCCCAAGTCATAACTCGGTCAGTGGGTGAGGCTTTCTAGCACGATATTGCGCAAATCTAGTGCGGTTCCTTAGCTCGGCTAAATAAAACAGAAGGTACTGAAGTCCTATCGAAACTATAAGGATGTCATGAAATTTTAGTTCGGTGATTTAGTATGGCTGGGGTCTCGTCTAAGTTAAACAACTACCTACTTCGGTTGAAGTGTGATTTTGGATCAAAAACATCGTTTTTTCAAGATTGTTTGCGAATATGATAATTCTATTATGTGGGTTTTTTTCCAGAAAAATGGTATATGCTTTGAAACACATATAAATAAGTATGCTGTGTGTTTGCAAAAACAGTATGTGAACAACAGAAACAAAACAGGTTTGAGTTACGTACCAGTTTAGAATGAAGAAATCGAAGGAAAACAATCTCAGCAAGAACACGAGCTCTACAATTGTAGTGAGAAAGAGAGAGGAAACTTGGAAAAATGGAGGCTCAGAGGGAGAGGGAGGTGAATAGTACGAGTAAATTATTCAAAAAGTAGGGATTTGGTGAAAAGCTTAAGTTTTGGACGGGACTGTTCAAATAAATGCGAGGTACGATGACGGCATGACAGCTATATGTGGCTAATGAGAGTTCGCCACGTGTCCATGGAATAGAAATCAATTCAGTTATAGCGACTGAAGGGACGTTTTGACCAGACAGATAGAGCCCGGAATGAGTTTAGCTTGGTTGGAAGGCTAAAGTTTCTAGCTCGGTTGGAATGCTAAGGTTTTTTAGTTCGATTGACAAGCTAAAGTTTTTAGCTCGACTGATGACAGGTAATCCCTATCATGCTGCGCAGATGGAATTAAGGAGCAATTGAGAGGGTAATTTATGTGGAAATTGGGCCGAACTAGGTGATGGGCCGTTATATGGGCTACAGTGAGAATGACTGAGTAAAAGGGCCTGATAGTTAGCTCAGCCCCAGAGAGCCTTGCAGTTAGCCCGGTCCCAGAGAGCCTTGCAGTTAGCTCGGTCACCACGGTCGGCATGGTGACAGTTAGCTCGGTCAAGCCATCTTGAGCCGAGGTATTATTGGCTTCTGCTTAGGACCTTGTTGTTAGATAGCTCGGTCCAAGCTCATTGTGGATAGCACGGTTTCAGACAACCCAGTTAGAATATGCCAACCGAGGTACACGCCTAGTGAAAGGAAGAACTGAGCTAGTTGGAGCTCGGTCTAGTCTGCGGCTCTAGCGTGGCCATGTTATCTCGGTCGTATTGACATCCAACCATGGTAAAACCATCTCACTTGATTTAAGCAGTGAGGGGGGTGTTGAAGGATAATCATTATCTTTCAGGAATGTGATTCCTAGGAAGACTCTACATGGAGGAGTAAGAGTCTTACTAGGATTGTGCCACACGGAACCTATAAAAGCTCATAACATCACCTATGGAGAGGTAACACAACTTTGATTCCCGAATATACAGAGCTTTTTGTCTATTTGTCTATTTTGTTGACTTAGGCATCAGAGAGGTATCCGGCACACACCCGCCGGCTAGCTCACGTTTGTGTTTTCAGGAAGTAAAACGATGTCGTACGGAGGAGCGCAGACTTGATCAACAGGATTATACGAGAAGGTTTATTTCTTTCCTGTACAATATGGTCACCGAAGCTCTTACTAATGAGTTTCTCTCTCTCTCTCTCTACATGCGTGTGTGTGTCTACATATTGATGGATTTAGTAAAATTTGGGTATTAATGAATAAATTTAGAGTGAATAAGCGAATGTGTGAGAGTGCAAGAGTGAGTGAGAGATAGTAATTGATTAAATAGTCAGAAAACAATTGATGAATGTTATCAGTGATAAATTTATCATTGATATTTATCATCTTCCTCTTGTTCCTTCTATTCTCTTGTCACCACCAAGTTTGAAAAAGTGGCAGGAGGAATGACATAGTCGAGAATGATGTTGTTTTGCCTAAAAAAATTGTCAGATAATTATCAAAAAAATCATTGTCAGAAAAAAATCGTTAAAGGTCGAAGACGACTTCCAGAGATTCGCTGATGGTTGGAAACGGCAGCCGGCGATGGTCGTTGGTGATTGGAGCCTACAACAGGACATGATTGTTGGATGAAGGGTGGACTTATTGTCATATTGATAATTGGAGATGAAGGAGAGGGCATTTTACATATATTAATAGGTTAACAAAAAAGGAGTACGCCTTATAGGCAAATTTGAGGATAAATTATTTTAATATTTTTTCGACTTCATGATAAAAATAGGAGGTGAAAAAAATTAATATGTTTAGTATGATGATTTTTATTTTTATATTGAAAAACATACAAAAAGTAAAGGGGATACACTCACCAAATAAATGCATTTATTTAGTGCATTCCCAAATGAATATATATATAATTTCTAAAATATTATTTTCATTAAGTTTAATAACTAAAATATATTTATTTTATTAATAAATAGATATACTGTTTTGATTTAAACAAATCAAAAAAAATTAAACTTTAAATTGAAATAATTAAAATTTTAAATTTTATTTTATTATAGTTTTCTTTATAATTTTCGCAAATAAATTTCATAAGAGCCTCCTCATTAATATTCAATCGCAAAATCAAATGAATTAATGGTAGCTGGAATTTTGTCTTATAGGTTGATCGATCGATCGTTTGATAAGAAGATTGATAGTTGTGGTCGATAAAAGTAACAACCAAAATAGATAAGTATTACATCGGTCATCCAAATAATCGTTGAGATGATCGCTTGGGCGGTTTACCAGCAAGCTTAATTCCAGCTACTAGGTTTTGTTTGGGATGTAAATTGACTTTTTAATTTTTTGACTTTTTGATTTTCTTAATCTGGGCCTCATTTCGAATAAATTTTTTGATTTTTTTAACTTTTATAAAAAAAAAAAATAATAATTATAATTTAAATGTGACATTTTAACTTATTGACTTTTTAATCTATTTATTTGTTTTAACTATTTCAACCAAAAAAAACCTCAAGCTCCAAACGAGCACTAAGGGTCCTCCAAAATCAAAGCAGTAGAAATACGACGGCGTAACGGCCTGAGAAGCCTCTATTATCGTCATCGAAGTCGAGGAAGTGGTCTTGCAAAGGAAACGGTAACCCTAACCCTAACCCTAACTTGAATGTTTGCTTACAGAGCTTCATCATATTTTCATTTACTTTTGGCTAGGATGACTCTTTCTTTCTTCAATTATGGCATCAATTTGGGCCTTCCAACTTCATGCCTCTTCGTTTCCGGTTAGTTTAACAATGAATTTTCAATTTCAATTTCAATTTTGCTCTCTCACACACGCACTCGTCTTCTGATTTGTAATGTATGTAATCAATACTTGCAATCGATTTTGGAATTGTAGCCTTCAATCTGTGTTTCGAGTCATCAAATTTCGTCAAATGTGCTGGAAATTAGAACCAAATTGAGGTTTAATTACGGTTGCCTGGATTGGAATCGAAAGAGGACTTGTCGAAAGTTTGTGTTGGGAGCTTTGAGCGATTCTGGGAGCTCTGTTGACGACAACAAGCGCATTCAAAATGAGGTTGTTGATGCCAAGAGAGGGAGGGTGCTGCTGGAAAATTTGAAATTTCAAGCTGCAAGATTGCAAGAAACGGTTTCTTCTTTTCCTCCCGTAGTTTTCGTGGTAATTTCTTGCTTCGTTTTGTGATTTTCATGTTAGTGTTTGGTAATGAAATTAAATTACTAATGATTTTTTTTGAATGCGGTGATCGATGCATTCAAATGGAGTTCGATTTTTCTTGTATTTGAAGTTCGTAGGGATTCGGCAATCGTACACAATAGTTAAAACCATCTACTGCTAAGTGCTTACTGTTAGAACATTATACTGGTTGTCTATTCGACCATAAAAAGAGCTAGTGTTTGTTTGTTTACCATGAAACTATGCACCAAAAAAAATCGGACATGCACCAAACAAATATGTTCAAGAACTAGTCTTTACTATGAAACTATGCACAAGAGTCCCATTTTATGCATAAAAATATTTATATTAATTTTTAAACACCATTATGTCTTCTTCTTCTTTTTTCTTTTTCTTTTTTTAAATGTTAGAAATGTTAAATTTTGCCATGTTGTGGTGTCCTTGGGCAGGGCCAGAACCAGAAATTGAGTTAATTTTGACACATTAATAATTGAAGATCATTTTTTATATAAGCGTTCTGAAATAAGTATTTAATTAGAAAAATTAATAAATCTAACATGTCATTTTTTTATTCTTTTCTAAAATTTTGAATTAGTAATTATATCTCAAAATAATCGATTTAATCAACCTTTTAAGCCATTTTGTTGGTTGACATAAGCTAGTAAATAAATTATATACAGACCTCTTTGACTTTTTAAAATAAAAAAGGTTGTATGTACCTCTTGTATAAATAAAATCGATTCGATGAAATTATTTCTATTTACTAACATGTGAAATAAGTGAAGATTATCTCATTATACATTGTGAAATACTAATAAAATAAAGAGTTACTAAGGTAATTTTCATAAAATTAGAGGCTATTCCGTTACACATTTTACAAAGATTCATGAAATATAGAGGTAATGCTGTAATTTTGAAAAACGTTATCTTTTTTCTTTGTTTTTTCCCCTTGGGCATGAGATGTAGATAAATTCGACACTTGGACGCATACTTGCACCTGGTGCACATGTCCAAACCATGTAACGTTGGTAGAAAGAAATTTACATGAAAATTCTTCCACCATTCTATTCATTTGGAGGCAAAAGGCAAGACTCAGTGAACATCATTTAATGGGTGCAGAGTTTGTGTCAAATTATCAATCTAAGGTGTTGCATCTGCATTAACTGATTGATGGAAGCAGATTTGGGTTTCTGCTCATGGACACATGCATGAAATCATGTTATGTTTGGTTCCGTTTGGTGTGCTTCCTTGGTTCAGAATATCCTGTCTAAAATTCTAGATATTAAATTAAACATTGGTTGTTTATGATCACAATGTTTTATTCTTTTTTGATAGATGTAGTTATTTTATTTTATTTTATGGTGAGCTATTTCTTTTTTGTCTCAGATGAAAAGACAGTCTGGAACTAATTTTGCAATTGGGCTGTGTATTTTGGCAACAATATTGGTTATTGCGGTGAGACTTTATGTGGTGAAGAAGTCAAGGTATAGCCATCCTGGCTCTGTAGCTGATCTTGTTAGGCGTGGCCAGCTAAGATCTGATAGAAGAGGCATGTACGATCCCAATCTTTACTCCCTGAACTTGTGCATATTTTTGGGATTTGACAGATCTATAGATTTTTTAGACTTTTGATTGCAAAGGAATTAACATTGCACATTTTTTGAAGTTAAAATGCTAGTCCATCTACTTTATTTTAACCTAAGGACCCATTCTTAAGGGAATTGATTTTCTAGAACTTCATGTTTTAGGAAAATGCCAACTAGTACCCCTGGAGCACTAGTTTGCATCAAGATTGAGGTAAAATAGTGTTTTGGAAATAGTTAAAAAGGCTAAAAAGTTTTCTGAAGTTGTTGAAAATGTATTGAAATTGATGGAAGGGTGTCTGGTGTTCTTTTTCTAGTGCCCTAGGGCACTTTTCAGCAAGACCCTATGTTTTAATATGCTGATGTGCTGTTGAAGTTTAACTTGTTACATGCCAGACTTTCACTTGTTGAATAATTGTGTTTTGGTTTTCCTTTTCCATATGGAACTTCTTCACAGCTCAGCACCTCTCAAATATGAAGATCCATTCAATAACCCATTGGTGAAGGTTGGTAAGAGCACTTCAACTATTGAGATGTGTGGAAAGGTTTATCGCTTAGCACCAGTGACTCTCACAAAAGAGCAACAAACCATCCATCAAAAGAGGAGATCACATGCATATCAGTGGAAAAGACCAACAATATTTCTTAGAGAGGGTGATCCAATACCCCCTGATGTGGACCCTGATACAATTAGGTGGATTCCTGCAAATCATCCTTTTGCAACTACTGCCAGTGACATTGATGAAGATTTGGCTCAAAACAATATGTACCAGAAACATGGTGTTCCATTCCGTATTCAGGCTGAGCATGAGGCACTGCAGAGAAAGCTTGAAGCACTACAGAGTGTAAGCACTTCTTGCACCCTCTAGTTCCTTTACCAGAAAGGGAAAGAACATACCTATGTTTTATATTTTTTTAACATGCATTGTCAATAGGTGAAGCATATAAATATGTTTAAATAATTAAGGCAGTGCAATGAGGATGTGGCACTGTGCTGGTGGAGGGGGCCACCATTCATGCACTTTTGTTTGGGGGACCTAGCTGAAAAATATATGGACTAAAGAAATCCACAAACACCCCCAATGAAAAATAAATAGGTGAAGCCTATGTTGAGCTTACGGTTTTTGACAGAGCAGAATGCCAAAAAGAGATTCGTGTAGTTGATTTGGATATGCACTATCTAAGAAGCACGGACACTTCTAAAAAGGTGGCGTATCCGTGTCGGACACCGACACTCATCAGACACTCTCCCGACACGTGTCCGACACTCATCCAAACGTGTCTTGATTTTTTATAAAGAATTTAAAACTTGGACACTCTTCGGACACTTGAAGGACATGCGTGTCCATCGACTAGACACACGAAACTAATTATAAGTTTGAACAAAATAACTTAGAATAAGATGATAAAGGAAAAATAACGTTAATTTATAGAAATTAGTGTTATAATGTATTTATTTATTGTCTTAGAATGACATGTTCATATATATGACATATAATAAATATATAAAATTATATATTTTGTCCGTGTCCCCCACGTGTCATGTCCTACATTTTTCAAAAATTGCCGTGTCTGCGTGTCCGTGTCGTATCCGTGTCGTGTCACGTGTCCGTGTCCATGCTTCTTTGTGCACTATGAATGCACGTCTAAGCATTTCTATAGATTTTGTTTTTTATGATTTGATTAGTAGTCTTATTAGGAGGTTCTTGGAATGATACTGCTGAACTTTTATGTTTTAAGAGTTTTAGGTTGCGTTTGGTTGTGTTTTGTAATTATGATTTGAGAGTATGAGTTGTATTTTGAGTTTGTGGGGTTTGGAATTATGATTTGAGTATAGAAAATTTGTTTGGTAAAAAGTTTTGAAAATAGTTTTGAAAAGAGTTTTTATTTGAGTGGGGAATTGTTGATGTGATATTTTTTGATATTTGATACAAAAATTTACAACTCATAACTAAACATACAACTCAAAATTATTTTAAAGCACATAAAAAAATTTAAAAATTTTAGAAAATGTTTTTTTCGATTATATAAAAATTAAAATATCAATTGCAAAAAAAAAAAAAAAAAATCACTATTCCGGTCAACCGGCTGGACGTCCCGTTAGGCCAAATTTTTTTTAAAAAAATTGAAAAATGCGTCTGTCAAAACAGAAAACCACGCCTCAGACATGGTGTTTTCTGCAGAGTTTTGGAAACATCATTTGAGAACTCTAACCAAACACCATACTTGAATTAAGGTGTGGAATCGTGATTTGAAATCACAACCAAACAGAGCCTTAGTTATTTTTTTGGGACTTTAGGTTATCATATGGGGAGTATGATGAATGTTGTAGTCTTTTTTTATTTTTTTTTTTGTGGCTTCGTGATCCTATGAGTACACATAAAAAACTTTGAAGATGCATAGTTGAAATATGGGAATCTTCCCTTTGTTTCCCTATTTATCTCTATCTCTTACCATAAGGCAAAAGAAAAAAATATTTATGTCCCCATTATGTGTTTGAAACAATACTAGTTGAGAATTGGTTTACATCGGTTCTCCCCCAAAATCCTCATGAATCCCGTAACTAGAGTGCAAAATGTCCTGGGCCTGCATAGTTAACCTAGATACACACTCAATTTTCTTGTGGTTATAATCCCCTATTTTATATTTGAAGTTAAGCTTAAAATTCCTTTTGTAGGACTTTTGTTTTAACCGGTGATCACAGTGTCACTGTGTCAGCGTGGACAACATCTTTTGTCACTAAAATATGGCAGTTAATGATTGTAACTGTAAATTGGATAGAAATGAACAGCGACATTACACCAAGGTAGTGGCTGCCACCCAAAAACAAAATCTAATTCTATTTCATTTGACTAATCTTTACAGTTTGCTCTTTCTATTTGATGATTATTGCGTGTTCATGGTATCCATCACAGTGCCTTTCCTTGATATGATTTGTTTCGTGTGTTTGCAGGGACAAAAACTTAATAAGTTAGTCGTAGATCCTGGTGCTGCCAAAGATTTTGAAAGACCATTCAAATCCCATCTGAAGCCAGATGAGCATTTAGAACAAAGCTTACCTTCTAATCATTTGGGCTCCAACCCTTCCAAATCAAAGCAAGTCCCCAACTCCTTTGGAAGCAATTCAAACTCTGAAGAAATGCCAAAAGCCTAGGGTACATCTGTGTTGCAGCAATATTCTTCCCACCTCTCGAGTTGCAGCAACCACCAATCTTTGGAATTTTGTGAAGAAAGAGTCGAACTATTTGAAGTTGACACCAGAGGCTCTGTGTCGTCCTGTTGCAAGTCCAAAGATCTAATTCAAACTGGCAAAGGGTCACAAGTGTAAATAATAGTAGCAAATACACCAGAGGCTCTGTGTCGTCCTGTTGCAAGTCCTGTGTTCTCTAATTTTCATATTGCTATATATTTCTTTGGAGAGCCTTCTATGTACAATACAATCATTATATCCCTCTATTACAGCCTTGAACATCAGCATCGCCACTAATAGTAGCAAATAATAAGATGGTTACTATTAGTACTACCTGATTTCTTTGATTTCCCAATTCTCACTCTTTTTTTTTTTATTTTTTTTATTACGATTATATCATAAAGTAAAATTACATTAAAGGACAATCTTTAATGGAGCACCCGACAATTGTACAATATTGTAGACCCACCTCCCTCACCTATGCATATTCCCTACCTAAACTTGACATATTCTTCATATATTCCTCACCTAAACTTGACATATTCTTCTTCATCAATGTTCCTCCTTAGCACTATCCTTAAACCTAACGTCCTCTTTATTACCATCCTACATTCAAGGTATTCCTCTTCATTATTATCTTAAACCCTAAACGTTTTTCAACACAATCTTAAACTTTGAACAAGAAATCAGTGACTGAATTGGAATGGATGTCTGTTATTTTGTTTGTTATATTGCATTGGAATGGAAAAGAGTGAATTGAAGGTTAAGTTAAAAAGTGCTGAACAATTATTGTTGTTGCAAAATAGTGTTGAAAAAATTGTTTATATTCAACAACACAATGCTAAACAGATGTTGTTCGGCGACATAGTGTTGAACAAATAAATTATGTTTGCCAACACAATACTGAAAAAATTGTTTATGACCGGCAACATAGTGTTGAACAAATAATTATGTTCGACAACACAGTGTTGACAAAATTGTTTATGTTCGGCAACATAATACTGAACCAACCATTGGGCGATCGACTGGCTGGATGACCAGCTGATCGACCGGTGGTGTGATTTTGATGCAGTTTTACAACAATGATGCAATGGTTTGGATAAAAAAGACATCATCGTTCACTGATTTTGAATAAATCAAAGAGAGGGATCGTCGCCGTTGTTCTTCAATAGAAGAGGGAATGAGAGGGACCGTCTTCAACCATGATGGAGAGGGTGTACAAAATTAGGTAGGTGTGCACTTGGGTGTGATGATATTATAAATAGGGGTAAAAAATTTATTGAAATTTAGAGTTTAAGGTCAGAGTTTAAAGAAACGGAAGGTCCAAAGAATTAAGGTAAGTGTTAATAGCAGCCCTCAATAATAATAGTCTCCTTGCCTCATTTCCTTGTGCTTCTTGTTGGGTTCATTTATTTGAGATAATTTGAATATGAGAAACCGGGGATATTTTTCAGAATGTTAGTGTATTTAGGAATTTCAGCATGTGGTGTAGCCAGAAATTTATCTGAGTGGGGTAATTTGATAAGTATTATCAATGTCACTATGTAAGATTTTTTTTATTTCTTTATTTTGGTAAACACATTATGATTTTAGTTCTACATAGCCAATCAAAATCACCTTTCACACAATTCATTGTAATTTTATATATTCTCAAAACACATTAATAAAGTAATTAAAACTTGTCAAATTATATGTAAAAATAAAACTGGCACATTAATTCTATTACTTCAACTAAAAATAAAATAATAATCATTCATCTAACCATCACTTATTTGATTATGCAATTTTCTCAGTTGTATTTGTCACTAGTTGAATCAATGACAATTAATAATAACAATTGGCATTGCTCCTTTCTTTATAAATACATTTTAAAATTTGTATTTAAATGTACACTAAAATCATGTGTAATCTTGGACACTAAAGATAAATTTTGAAGTGTTATTAGAACAAGGTAGAATGAGAACACCAGTTCTCTTTTTTCTTTCTTCTTTTCACTGGTATAGACCTGCAGGTACAGCAGCTGTCCTAACTTTGCATTGGCCGCAAATATATATATATATATATATATATGAACTTAGCTTGGCATCATATTTTTCTGCTTATGGGTTGCATGGCAATAGACCAGTCATGGACATAGATGCTGTTGAAGTCATAATAAACTCACAACCTCTTAATGGTCTGGGGTTGAATAAGAAAGAACATTGCCACTTCAAGTGCACACTTGATTTAAAAGAAAAATTCAAACATATCCATACAAATAACAAAATGGTAGAAACAAATCCATACAAATTACAAAATGGTAGGCTAGATATATAAATTGTTTTTTGGCTCCTGAAAAACAAAACAAAATATTGGTTGGCCTCTTACTCTTAAATGCTGGAACCTGTAAAATTTAGTCCAAAGTTGCTGAATATATCTGTCCATCCGGCAGCGTGAGACCCCCAGGACCTGTAAGTGTGTCAGTAAGGTTCAGTAGAAATCTTCGGTGCACCTTGCAGGATTGATTTATTTTCAATGCCATTTTCCCACTCTTACGTACCCTGCTAATCACGTATCGGGCACATAAAACATGGCAAATAGTGACCACCATTATTATTGAAATCAAACTAGATGGCTCCTAGCAATTTAATTTTTTTTTTTTTTCCCCAAAATGTGAAATTTACCTTAACAAAGACTAAGACATCTAATTCCCCAATTCAATCACAATGCACAAGAAAACTCTCCGGCACCTTTAAGTAATGTTGCCGAAGGACAGACAGATAGTTCAAAGTAATCCAAATCACTCAGTCTTGGCGGCTTCAGCCTGCCTCGCACCAACAGCAAAGAACTCCGTAATGACTTCAAGAGGCATGCCCTTTGTTTCTGGAACCTTCAGGTAGATGAAGATCCAGGAGATGACGCACACAATAGCGTAAATGCCAAAGACACCATCTAGCCCAATTGAAGTGAGCAGAACAGGAAGACTGTAGGTAACAATAATGTCCCCAATCCAGTAAACTAGAGCACATATTGTGATGCATAGGCCACGGACCCGGGAATATCTCTGCACAGAGGATGTTTGGGACTGGCCCATAGCCCGTGACAAAGCAGCAGAAGTAGACCACAACACAGATGGTTGAGATTACCGCTTCAGGAACTGAGCCCAGGTCAATGAGTTCGGTAATAACTAAGATGACGAGTGAAACTACCAGCACAGGAATTGTAGTGAGCAGCAGCGTCCTGCAGTGAGGGATTTTGAATAGCAAATGTAAGTGAAAAATGAAAGGAAAGGGGAGGAAACGAATCTTGTGAAGGAAACAACATGAGAGTTTTCACCCTATCCTCTCATTAAGACATGACAAAGAAGAGCTTGAATCCCACAGCTCCAACTAAAAAGATGTAAAATAAAAATTGGGGCCGTAGATGCATCAAAAGTAAAATATTTAAGTCCAAAATAAAACTGGTATAGTCGTACAAAGTTGAGTGGAGAACTAACATCCGAATGTCAAACTGATCATATAACCATACATCGCCAAGACTCAGATCAAACACATTAAAATTGGAAAAGGCAAGTGCTGTTTATTGGGTGATCTCTAAGCAACAAATGTTGGACAGAAATCCTAGCTGTGACCAATCAAAGCTACAAAATGAATGGGGGAAAGAGAGCAAAAAGGAAGGGGGGAAAAAAAAATTAGGATTACCTTCTGCCGGCGATATCCATGAGCCTCATCGCGACACCTATACAAGGAAGCATCAACAAGGTTGTAAATGCACTAATAAGGAAAGACGCAGACTCTGTACCAAGGCCAAGGCTGGCAAGAAGAACTTCAACTCCTGCCTCCTCAAGGATTTGAGGGGTGTAATACAAAACCCCATTTATGCCAGAAAGCTGCACAATACATTAATCAAACACGCAAGACACAATGACAAAGTTCAGTAGTCGAACGACAAGTGGCAGCAAAGCAGAATTAGACATCACATCCTATGAAAACTAGACTGTCCGATAGATGCCTAACCATGAGCTATTGTATTCTCACCAAAAACTTCCCAGCCCACTGGAGATCAGTGTGCTTCCCAAGAGGCCTCGTTTTTGAGTTAGGAGTTCAAACCACTGAGTTAGTCGGCAGTCGGGGGTAAGGGGATTGCCAACTTTCATATTAAAAAAAAAAAGAAGAAGAAAAAAAGGAACAAAAATGGAACAAGAGACGTCATTGAAAGAAGGCATATCCTACCTGCTGAAGTATTTGAATTCCCATCCCAACAATTAATGCACGTTTGACTCCCGGTTCAAGAAGAGCAGTCCATATAGGCCCTTTTGAAGCCGTTTCAGATGGGTGAACCATTGCTGGTCCAACTGGATGCTGATTCATGAGTTCCTTGGAATAAAGAGCGGGCTGGCTTACCAAAGCAGCGGCCTGAATAAACTCACCTTCCGCAGGAACATCACCACCGGGAAGAGAAACAAGAGATCCACGCCTTGACCCTGGAACTCCCTCCTGGTGCAAATAAATCCTTTTAAACCCTCCTTCCTTATTTCTGTCTTCACCTTCTTTCTCGGACCATTTCCACGCCAACTGCCAACCGCCACCAATGCCCATAGCACCAACCGCCTCTCCAGCAGTTCCTTGCAATAGACTACTACCACGTCTCACGCCTAGAGTGCTGCCATGGGAAGCAGGAGGGGGAGGCATATCTTTTTCGAGGCTCGTCGTTTGTCGTGAAATCAATGGACTATGCAAATTGTCGTCAGAGTCAGCCCCGCCGCCCTCTGACCCATAATCCTCACCTTGCAGGCTCTCTTCGTCCCACTGTTCATTTTTGACCTGAGGGGCCGCTGCTGTGCTGAACATGCTGCCGAAAGTAGGAAATAGCATGCTTCGCATACTTCCTGATGCCTCAGGGAGCTTTTCATGGACACTGCCAAAAAGAGTCACAAGTGGATCCATAAGAGGCTGGTTCACCATGCTTCCCTGGCGGGAAACAAGACCAATACTACTTTGACGACCATTAACGGGTTTGGCAACCCAAGAGAGGCCCTCTTCAGCTCCGTACAACTTAATCTGGTCTTTCTCAGTAGCCAGTTCTTGATCATCAGCTGGGCCTATAATATACTCTTCTATAGATGTTTCACCGCCAATAGCTAGACCTTCAACAAGTAAAGCCATCTCTCCTGAAGACCAAGAAGCATCAACATCCACACGGTAAATAGGTTGTAAAGATTTCGTCAAAATGGAAAGGAAGAGAGAGGTCAATGTCAACCGCATTAAACAACTAATAATTGCCATCTTTAAAAAATAGTTCAGAAAAATTAAGCAAGCAAGAGGTCTTTCACATTGATACAAACACAGACAAAATAAGTCATCTAAGT